GTATTTCCAAGTGACCTGAAAACCCTCAAAAAAGGAAGCATTCTCTTTACCCCATCTTACATTACTTCATCTAGGATTGTATCTACACGTGCATGAGGGTAAAGCTGCTGAAAGGGAAAAGGAGGGCAGGCTTAACAGTGACTCCAGGCTGGCGCCGCGGCTCACTAGGCTAATCCTCCACCTGAGGTACCGGCACCCAGGGTTCTAGTCCCGGTTGGGGCACCAGATTCTGTCCCGGTTGCTCCTCTTCCAGTCCAGCTCTCTGTTGTGGCCCGGGAAGGCAGTGGAGGATGGCCCACGTGCTTGGGCCTTGCACCCGCATGGGAGACCAGGAGGAAGCGCCTGGCCCCTGGCTTTGGATCGGTGCAGCGCGCCAGGTGTAGCAGCCATTTTGGGGGTGAACCAATGGGAGGAAGACCTTTCTCTGTCTCTCTCTCTCACTGGCTAACTCTGCCTGTCAAAAAAACAAACAAACCAAAAAAACCCCGGTGATTCCAAAGAGCAAGTTTGCCACAAGAGCCTTGACAAATACTGACCCACGCCTTCTCCCACACGAGCAGGGCCAAGTCCACCTGCCACACTCCCTCAGAGAGCCCCGTGAACCCCTCACTTCAATGAAGGACACAGTTCAGCCAGTCAGCAAACACTGTCAGGGCACTTACTCCACATGCACCACATTTAAGACCTGGGGATCCAAACATAAGGAAGGGACGGCCTCTGCCTCTACCAGTTCATTTAGAGTTGAAGGCTGGGTGTTTGTTAAAGAAAGGAAAAACTGGAAGAAATAAAAATGGCTGGCCACAGTACAACATAAAAAGTGTTAAACTACAAGAATGAACAAAAATTTTGAGATTACAGGGGAAAGCAGTAACTTATGGGAGACCTCACAAAAGAAGTTATGCCTAAAGCCTAATTGTAGTTTTTGTTTGCAGTGGCCCAAAATCACAAGAGGATAGTACACTGCTATTAAAACCTATTTTGCCTGCTCTTTATGAATACAGAAAAGCAATATTCATTGCAAGTCTTCTTGAGAAACAAAGATAAACAAAAAAATCTACATTTTTCTCAATATGTTTAAAAATGAATATAACCTAAGGAATTATCAGAAATCAGTCTTTTCAACATTTGTCTAAGGATCATATAACAAACAATGATTCAAAGTAGCTTTATTTTCTGATTACCCTCTACTGCAATACAGTGCAACTGACATTTTATTGTAATTTAAATTGGTTCTTCAGACAGGCCCCATAGAGGAACCAGAGGGCATTGAAAGTCATGCAGCACTGGGTTTTGTACAACTGTTTTGCAAACCAATTCTGAAATTTCAGGGTGAATAAAATGTTTCTTTAAGCAATCAGAAGACAATAACAATAAATGCATTCAAATCTAAGAAATTAACTTTTAAAAAATTTTAAGAAATTGCAGCCCTTTTCTCTAATACTAACAATTTACAGGAGAAAATTGTTCACTACCATCCAGATTAAGTCTATCTTACAAAGAGGTACAAAACAAACAGAGTTATATTCCAAAATATTTATAAATATATATTTACAAAACACATTTACATATCACTTATACATATCTAAAAATTATTATAAAGTGAAAAGGGCATGTCAAGCTTTTTTATTTTCTTCATTTTTATCAGAACAAAGACTTACATTTATTACTAAAAATAATACAAGGGGCCAGCGCTCTGGAGGAATCAGCTGGGCCTCTGCCTGCAACGCCAGCATACCATTTGGGCACCAGTTCACGGCCCGGCTGCTCCTCTTCTGATCCAGCTCTCTGCTGTGGCCTGGGAAAGTGGGAGATGGCCCAAGTCCTTGGACCCCTTCACCCACATGGGAGACTCAGAGTAGGTTCTTGGATTCTGGCTTCCTATCAGCCCAGCTCTGACCATTATGGCCACTTGGGGAGTGAACCAGTGGATGGAAGAGCTTTCTGTCTGTCTCTCCCTCTCCCTGTAACTCTGCCTCTCAAATAAATAAATAAATCTTTAAAAATGTTAAATAATACAAAATAAAGAGCTTACAATATATTTCTAGAGCTCACTAACCTAAAAGCAAATAAACATAGGTTTGAATCCTGGCTACATGAACATAAACTTTAGCACACTACTAATTCACTGTAAATCTCAGCTTTCTGTGATAACTGATCATACTAAAATTATTTGGAAACTACGTATGTGCCAAATACCTTGTAATTAGTCTATAAATGTTGACCATCACCAACATCAAAGCCAATAAATAAGTTATTAGGTAGTTAAAGGATATTTCATAATATCCTTTAACAATGTAAGTTTTCAGTAGCTGAAATCAGTAACAATGATATCAATCAGAATTGTCATAATCCCTTACAGTATTTTACAGTTCATAACAAACTTGATATATATCAATTCCTCTGTTAGTAAAAATATACAATGTGAAAGAGCAAGACAGGGAATGTCAACTCAGTTTAAAGATGGGTAAACTCAAAATCGGAAAGGATAACTCATGCAGTGAATAAGGGACTCACATTTACTATGAGTTAGTGTACTGCTCACAGATCTCACCAATGGCTGTCTGGTTGCTCTTTTGCCTTCTGCTTCCTTTTAGTTAACTGATCTAAGCAAGGTATCCTCTGCATGCCTGTTCTCCAGGTGCCAGTCAGGCCCATCTTGAGCAACGCACTGAGGCAAATAAATTCTCTTAAGAAATGCTTGGGCCTCTGTAAGACCACAGATGTTAATACTAGGACACAGGCATCGAGTCTGTGACACATATCATAACCCAGTTAATAAATGTCCTTACATTCAAAAAGGAGAGATGGTCTAACTAATAGTAGAGCGTTATTTGATGTCCCAGTTGTCTTCGTGTCTCTGGAATTCCATACAGAGTAAAGGTTTATAAAGGAAAGCAAAGGCAGACAATCCTAAATCCCTGGACTGATCTCCTAACATAATCAGAACGACACTGCAGTTTTGAAATGATACGACTACTTCAAACAGATATTGTTATCCTAAAAACTGCTCTTAACCAGAAAACAGTAATATATTAAGTATGTAGCAGTACAATCAAGAGGCTTTAAAAAAAAAAAAAAAAAAAACAGAGAAAAAGAACAGTGTTTCTTAAGTAAAGATAATCATGTTATGCTGGAAACATTGTATTTTTTTAAAGATTTATTTTACTTGAAAGAGTTACACAGAGAGAAGGAGAGGCAGAGAGAGAGAGAGAGAGAGAGAGAGAGAGTCTTCCATATGTTGGTTCACTCCCCAAATGGCCAAAATGACTGGAGTTGTGCTGATCCGAAGTCAGGAGCCAGGAACTTCTTCCAGGTCTCCCACGTGGGTGCAGGGGCCCAAGGACTTGAGCCATCTTCTCCTGCTTTCCCAGGCCACAGCAGAGAGCTGGATCGGAAGTGGAGCTGCCGGGTCTCAAACCGACACTCATATGGGATGCCGGCACTGCAGATGGCGGCTTTACCTGCTGTGCCACAGTGCCAGCCTCTACTCCTGCATCCACATGGGAGACCCGGAAGAAGCTCCTGGCTTCTGATCAGTTCTGCTCCAGCCACTGCATCCATCTGGGGACTGAAACAGCGGAAGGAAGACCTCTCTGTCTCCCTACCTCTCTCTGTAACTCTTTTTTTTTTTTTCCTCAGTTGGATGACTTTTCTCTTTATTTCTTTTTTTTATTATTTAGTAAATATAAATTTTGAAAGTACAGTTTATGGATTACAATGGCTCCCCCCCCATAACTTCCCTCCCACTTGCATCCCTCCCATCTCCCGCTCCCTCTCCCATTCCATTCACATCAGGATTCATTTTCAATTATCTTTATATACAGAAGATCAATTTAGTATATATTAAGTAAAGATTTCATCAGTTTGCACCTACACAGAAACACAAAGTGTAAAATACTGTTTCAGTACTAGTTATAGCATTACTTCACATTGGACAACACATTAAGGACAGATCCCACACAAGAAGTAAGTACACAGTGACTCCTGTTGTTGACTTAACAATTTGACATTCTTGTTTATGGCGTCAGTAATCTCCCTTGGCTCTAGTCATGAGTTGCCAAGGCTATGGAAGCCTTTTGTGTAACCCTGTCTTTCAAATAAATAAAATAAATCTCTTAAAAAAAAAAAAAAACATTTTAAATTAGGATCACTTGAAAATCAGTTGGAAATAATCTTACTGGGAAACAAAGTTTAAAAAAAGTATATTAAAATTACTATTGGGTAACTACTGTGTTGTGGCACAGTGAGTTAAGCCACTGCTTTGGAGGCCAGCATCCAATACGAAAGTACCTGGCATTGAGTCCACCTCCACTTCCAATCCAGCCTGCTTCTAATGTGCATCCTCGCAGGTGGCAGGTAACAGTTCAAGAACTTAGGGTACTGGGGCCGGCACTGTGGCTGGTAAAGCCACAGCCTGCAGTGCCAGCACCCCATATGGGCGCCGGTCTGAGTCCCAGCTGCTCCACTTCCAATCCAGCTCTCTGCTATGGCCTGGGAAAGCAGTAGAAAATGACCCACGTCCTTGGGCCCCTACACCTGTGTGGAAGACCCGAAGAAACTCCTGGCTTCAGATCGGTGCAGCTCTGGCCATTGCAGCCAATTAGGGAGTGAACCAGAGAATGAAAGACCTCTCTCTCTCTCTCTCTCTCTCTCTCTGCCTCTCCTCATTCTGTGTAACTCTTTCAAATAAATAAATAAATCTTCAAAATAAAATAAAATAAAAACCTTAGGGCACTGTCATTCATGAGGGAGAGCCAGAGAGAGTTCTGGGCTCCTGGTCGCAGCCTGGCCCAGCGATAGATATTGCAGGCATTTGGGGAGTGAACCACTGTATAGAAAATTAGAAGATCTCTCTCTCTCTTTCACTCACTCTACCTTCCAAATAAAAATAAATATCTTTAAATAAAAATTACTATTTATAAAACAAAGACTGTCCAACATGAAACAAAATCTTCTTACTAATAGAAAGCAGACAAAATTCCATTAAAATAATCACCTACCAAGCTTCCGGTAGCAAAACAGAATACTCATGTGGTGATGTGGTCTCTGGAAAGTTGGAGAGAATCGCAAGGCGATGAGGAAGAAGGTCAGAGCCATGGTAAGTAAACAGAATTTCCAGTGCTTGAACATTACTTTCCTGTATCAAAGGCAAGGGACAAGTTTCTTAGAAATGAGGACGTGATGCTATCACATTCCAAACTTATAATTAGCTATTTTATTCAGTTCTGATATAAAGAACTTTGAAATATCCCTGATTTTTCCCACTCTGTGTAACATTTCTCAGTCTAATGCTATAAAATTATTTATATGTAAAACTCAAAATGTCAAAGTTTTTAAAATATGAATTATACTTTATCTACATTTATTAATACAAAAGAAAATAAAATATAATGGTATCTTGCGTGCAAAACCCTTAACTGCATGATTCAAAGATTTAGATAGCGTCAACGGCCATAATTATTTTATTTATGAAAAAGAAATTACCCGAGCATAAGTTCTTGCTGAGAGAACAATATTTTGATTTCTGAATTTCTTAAAGAATTCCGCATCATATCTCTGCTCAGAAGCAGGAGGCACGCCCAGGATTTCCTGAGGGGAAACAGTAATTAAATGAAAAGGCATTTAGATTTAGGTGACACGAAAATATTTAAATCCTCATAACTCTGCCAGCCAAAATAAATAAGGCCTGAATTAATTAACTTCAACTATCATTTATTAACTAAAATACTACATCTGCATTCTTGCCTTAATTTGGAAAGGACCATATTTTTAAATACTATTAATTTTAAAGTAAAATCCAGAAGCAAATGAAACAGGTAGTAAAAAGTAAATGAATAACTGTAGGATAACCAAAATTAACCACTTGGTAAAAACAAATATGCAATAGTTCTCTGTGGTGCCTGTTTTTGAAGATATCATCATCAGTGAAACTAAAGCTAAGTATAAAAATAAACTGTATCTGTACAGACGCCTATAGTTCACCACAAAATATTACCTCTAAATATCTCACAACAAGGAAAGTAAAAGGGCATGCTTTAAAGCAGCCAAACTAGTTGTACCTATAAATCAAATCATTAGCAATTTTCCTTAATTCATTTATATGATATGACACACTCATTATCAATGTTTTCCAATAACCACAGAATTAGTCCTCTTTTATTATTTTGAAAACATTTCAATTGTATTGGCAAGGCAGGGTAATCGAAGACTTTCGAATTTTCCTGTGTGGTCAAAAGTGTTATACACCTCCCACAGTCTTGAGATGCTCATCACATTATCAGAGGTAACATTTATCAAATACCTACTATGTGCCAGTGTGAAGAGCTGAGAAAGGTATGCCCACAGAAGGGAGATGCAATACAGAATGACTGAAGAAGTAACCTTCAAGTGAAGTCAGACTTCAATAGTTCGACATTTATTTTAAAACTTGGGTAACACAGCTATGAGAGTCATGTGGAAAAGCAATCTAAACTATGTGTATGTATTGAAATGTGCTCACTTTCACTTACACCTTTACCGATACCTACCTAGTCTTACACAATGCTACTGAAAAGAACAACACAGGGACATCTGTGTGAAGTCCCTGAAGGCTCAAATACGAAGCATACTATTTTCAAGTTCAAGCGTCTAACTTTAGCCCTAACTCATATTAAAGATCAGTCAACTAAATTCAACCCACTACCAAATTATTAAAATAAAAAAGAAACATTAGCCGGCGCCGTGGCTCACTAGGCTGATCCTCTGCCTGTGGCGCCGGCACCCCGGGTTCTAGTCCCGGTTGGGGCGCCGGATTCTGTCCCAATTGCTCCTCTTCCAGACCAGCTCTCTGCTGTGGCCCAGGAAGGCAGTGGAGGAGGGCCCACTTGGGCCCTGCACCCGCATGGAAGACCAGGAGGAAGCATCTAGCTCTTGGCTTCGGATCAGCGCAGCACGCCGGCCAGAGGCGGCCACTTCGGGGGTGAACCAACAGAAGGAAGACCTTTCTCTCTGTCTCTCTCTCTCACTGTCTATAACTCTACCTGTCAAAAAAAAAATAACTCAAAAAAAAAAAAAAAGAAACATTCATATTAGGATTACTAAAATCTAGTATATACTGAAATTTGATTCTGGAAACATTATCTTAAAATACGGAGGCTGGTGCTGTGGCGTAATGAGTAAATTCACCACCTGCAGCACTGGCATCCCATATGAGTGTCAGTTTCAGTCCCAGCTGCTCCACTTCCAATCCAGCTCCCTGCTAATGGCCTGAGAAAGCAGCAGAAGATGGCCCAAGTGCTTGGTCGCCCTGCACCCACATGGGAGACCTGGATGAAGCTCCTGGCCCCTGGCTTTGGATCAGCCCAGCTCCAGCCCTTGCAGGCATTTAGAGAGTAAACAAATGGATGGAAAATCTCACTGTCACTCTCTTTCTCCCTCTCTCTGTTACTCTGCTTTCAAACAAATAAATCTTTTTTAAAAAAATCAAAATATGAAAGTAAATGTAAAGAATCATAAATCTAGAAAACAGAGATGGACTGACAAGTCTAAAGCATTTCCACTCTCCAGTCCAACAACACAACTTCTAGCATTCATGAGCTCTAACTTTTATCAAAATTTACATCAAGAGATTGCTTCTGAAAGAAATTAAATTTTCCCCACATCAATAGTTCAAAAGAACAAGAATACCAGATATTAGGGCAGCCATGACATTTATAACGATATATCAATTTAACACAATTGGTGTGATTAAAACTATTCTTTACCTCATATGTTGCAAGTCGGTCTAAGTAGGTTAATAATTTCAGTCTACAACGACAAAGTTCCTTTTGTTCCAGTGTCAACCTGTTTGGAATAATTGTATAAGGCCATTCATATTTACACAGAAGTATATTCCTCTAGAAGCTAAAATGGAATGAAAATGATCCATATTCCATTGAGCCCCAAACTCAAGGAACAATAGGCAAAAGTACAAGGGTAAGATAATATTAAATGCATTGCTTCTGAAATAATTTAGTATAATTATCACCAGTAAAGAACAACCTGAAATAACTAGTTATTTTAAAGAAATAATCAACTGAACAGTACAGTCACCTACTTTGCAAAGTTCACTAACTGAAGCAGCTCCCGTCTCTTCTTGAGCTCCTTTTCCTTTTTGTTCTTGGCCGGCTCCTCCTCAGACGGCGAAAGCTCCTCATAGGAGATATTCTCAATGTCCACTTCACCAGGTAATGTAAATCTGAAACAAGAAGAGAAAAAATACATCTATTTTGATTGTCTCCTATCTTATGAAGTGCAACCTACTTTCTCCTATTTTGATTGATTTAATTATTAATTTCCACAGACACAGAAACAACTATTTGGAAAAAAACAAAACTTTTGCCATTATAAACAAAGTGACTGGACTTATTATAGACTAGGCAAAAAGTCACAGAAATAATCACAGAAATTTTAAATCAAGAAAATCAAAGTTATTTAGGAAACACAAAAGATCATATTCACCCCATGTAAAAGAGTCTATGCAGAAAATACTGCCCACAGTTTACACTTTGAATCACTTCTATTTATGGTCCTAAAATGGTAATGAATGTCACTGTCATTTAAATTACTTATTTATCAGGTACACTATCATCTTTATATCTCAAAAGAAGTCTCAAATGTCTGATGAGTAATGGCTCTTGACAAAAAACGTGATTGCTATTATGAACTGACATTTGAATGATGCTTAAAAGTTTATGAGGCACTTTTACAAGACACATAATTTAATCACTCCATGTAATTCTGTGAAGGGGTTATGATCCCACACATAAGGAACATGAGGCTCAGAATCACCTAAGGTGGTGGTTCTGACTAGGAAGCCAATGCAGATAAGCGCCATATGCCCCAGCTTAAAACTGGCAAGGCTTAGTAAAAGTCTGGAGAACGCGATGCCTCCTCAGTGTCAAGCTATCATCCGCAGACACGCTCAACATAAAGGAAGGAAAGCTCCGATCTAAAATAACAAAGCACTGATCAAACACAACTGGTTCATAAGGGATTGATCTAAGGAAAAGCTTATCTGGTCTAATGTTCCAGTTTAAAAGTTTTCACGAAGTCACTACTCCTTTGAATCTAAATCTTTCTAAAACCAACCTGCCATCATCTGTTCCTTTCCCTATTGCTATCAGAGCCTCCAGGTCTGTGCCCTTCAGCCCATACTGAAGCAGTTCTTTTGCAGCATCCACATTCTCAGGAACTCTTTCCAGGCATTCGTGGAGAACCCAGGACCGCTTCTTTATTTTACTCTAAATATAAAGAAAATAGAAAAGAGGAATTAAGAATCCATGCCATCTTCGGATCAGCACAGCTCCGGCCATTGCAGCCATCTAAGGAGTCAACCAACGGAAGGAAGACCTTACTCTCTGTCTCTCCCTCTCACTGTCTGTAACTCCACCTCTTAAATAAATAAATAAAATATTAAAAATATATAAAATTAAATTTAAAAAAATAAAGAAAGAAAGAATCCATGCCATCTTACAGAACCTGACAACTGCCTTTCAGAGTCGCAAAGCTGTGCTGAGGAATCATCTGCTTACGAACAGAGTCACAGACAGTTGCTGGAGGCGCTCCACGTAAAACAGCTAAGTCCCTAATGGGAACCACAGCTGGATGCAGGGGATGTGATTCCAGCTGCTTGCTTTCTTCTACTAATGAGCCACACTGAAACAAAAGCTCAGTATTCTTCTTTGAAAATAAAAAATTTTTCCACCCTCTCATAATTGCTTTTGGTTTGCATTTTGGCTATATAAGAAAGTAGAAAACAAGGTAAAAAGATAAGATAGATCATATTTTAATAATTACATCTAAGTTTTAAATAGAACTTAACACAGCACATCGAAGTAACATGTTTATTTGACTATAAGATGTACCATAGGATGCAGATAACTTAATCATAAAAAGTCACAGTTTACAGTTGGAAAGACTAAGGGCATATTGCTTCCTCCAAACCCATTCAAACCCCCTGACTGGTCCTCTTCCTTGAAAGAGCTATCTGAGTCACAAACTGGAAGTTGGATCTGATTCATACCCTGTGTTCCTTTGTACATTCCATCATATCAAATTCACTCATCAAAGGTTTCTTAACTCACTCCCCCTTCCCATATCGGCAGCCTCTTTACTGTAATCTAAATCATCAACACACAACAGTTGGGACACTGTAGAAACCCCTTACCCCAAGAAGGATATCCCAACAGCTAATTCTCTTTCTAATTACATTTCCCAGTGTTCACTATCATGAAATATCAGCTCCAGCAAATTGGATGACTTACAGGGCTCATTTATCCATGAATGTTTACTGCATAACACTATGTAACAGGCACTAAATTAGACAGGAAGACACAGTAGTGAGTAAGATAGACTGAGTCAGGGCCAACATGTGGCACTATGGGCTAAGCCACAGCCTGCCACACAGCATCCCATGTTAGAGCACCAATTTGAGTTCCCCCTGTTCTGTTTCCAATCCAGATCCCTGCTCATGTGCCTGGGAAAACAGGGGAAGAGGCCCAAGTACTTGGGCCCTGCCAATCACATGGGAAACCCTAATGGAGTGTCTGGCTCTTGGCTATGGCCTAACAGCAAAGGTCATTTGAGGAGTGAACTAATGGATGGAAGATCCCTCTCCCACCCCAAAGCTCATCATCTTTTAATTTGCTCTTATTAAAGAATGCATTCCTCCTTTCCAACTACAGGACTACTTGGAATGCCTTCAAATCCCTGCTCACTATATAAAGTCTTCCATAACCATCAAGTCTACACTGACTGCTGCCTTCACTGGGTTCCCAGTATCATCTGACATGTTCTTGATGGTTTCCATATTTTCAGCTTGTCTCAGCAGTGGGACTACGGGCTCTCTAACAGCAAAGGCTACACCTACAGTCCCTAGCATAGTGCTTTTATTCTTAACTGTCTATATTTATTAAATATCCCCTACCACAAAATTGCATCTTTAACACTTCTCAAGTCCTTCAGGGCTCTGTTCTTTATCATGTTCCAGAAAAAGCAAATAAATGGCTAATGGTGCCCTATATCATAAGAGAAGAAAGGAAGATAATACAGGTTTGATGTTCCAATTTTCTACAGAAAACACAAACAACTTTGTCTTACATTATCTCTCACATTTGAGATATTATTTTTATTAACATAAACAGTTTATCACTCTGGTTTCAGATAACATTTATTATATGTTTAAGTTACTTAATATATATATTTTCTCAAAATGACTATTCTTTTGATGGATTTTGTTTCATTTAAATTTTTTATTCATATAAAGAGAACAGAGTTAATGTTTTTCATATATACAACTTTAAAGAATACAATCATATCATAAAATTTTCCCAGTATTTGCTAGAATCTTCCTAAATGCAAAAGTACCTTCTCTTCTAAACGTCAGATCAAAAGTTCCAATCCTTTAAATGTATGTCATGAGTCCAACTACTTCCTTACAAAGACACCAAGAGTCAAAATACAGAATGCTATGAATTGAGTATGTGCCCCCAAAACTCCCATGTTGAAAAATGAATCCCCAGACTGACAGTATTCGGAGATGGGGTCTTTGGAAAGTAATGAGGGTTGGAATTTTCATGACAGAAGTAGTACCCTAATAAGGGACTTCATAAGTCATAAGGCCAAATAAGAAACAAAATTAGCATCCTTATAACAGAGTTTGTTCCTCACTCCTACCCCTGCTCCCCATCATCTGAAGACACAGCAAGAAAAAATTCATCAGCAAGCTAGAAAGAAGGTACTCACTAGGAATGAAATTGGCCACCACCTGGATCTTGGACTTCCTGGTCTCCACAACTGTGAGGCTACATAACATTAACTATGGAAGGCAGGTAGTAGATTCTTTTTAAAAGATGTAATCTATTTATTTGAGAGGCAGAGTTACAGACAGAGAGAAGGAGAGACACAAAGAAAGGTCTTCCATCCACTGGTTCCCTCCCCAAATGACTGCAATGGCCAGAGCTGGGCGGATCCAAAACCAGGATCCAGGAACTTCTTCCAGGTCTCCCACATAGCTGCAGGGGTCCAAGCACTGAGGGCAACTTCTACTGTTTCCCAGTCCATTAGCAGAGAGCTGGATTGGAAGTGGAGAACCAGTGCCCATTTGGGATGCCAGAGCTTCAGGCAGAGGTTTAGCCTACTACGCCACAGCGCCAGCCCCAGTAGGAAAGACTTCAGCAAAGAAGGGTTCTATTTATGGACTCCCAGCTTCAAACTGCCCCTGGGAGCCAGCTAGCTATGACAGCTTTCCCATTTCTGCTTGCGGCTAGCTGACACAGGATCATGAGAAGGCCACTTCAAAACAAAAGACTGGTTCTAGTCCTCATGTGCATTGGTTCTTTTCTGGCTGCTCTGGCTTAGTAGCCAGCAAGGCACAATGGGGACATCTTGTGGGGCTTACGTGCCCCCTTCCTCGTGCCATGGACACCTTCCTTACAATTTCAGTGGTACTGCTATGGGCAGATTTCTTCCCAATCTCCCAGGCCACTGAGAGATAGGCTTCCCAGGCTGGGCCTGCCTAAAGAAGTGGGGAGATTTTTCTTGCCATTCCTCCCCAGGGCTCCCTTCTTAACTATCAGCATCACAACACAAGCATGCTGGTAGAGGATTCCTGCTTGCAAGTTTCCGGGGTTTTCTGACCTCAATCTCAGCTCACTGACACCCTAGCAATAGGCGTTCAGCTTCCCTATCCATCCCATGTTTCCCTGACTGCCAGACTAGACAACTATAGACCAGTTAAGACAACCCAGAAAACATCTCTGTCAACTGTGCTGCAGTCACTCCTTGCCTAATGAGTATGAACCCGAGCTTAGCAGAGGAGACCTCCTTCCAAGTCTGTTCCTTCAGCCTAGGCTTTGCCTTAGGGCTCTCTCTGTGTCTTATAGATAAACTCTGGTTCCTAGAAAACAAGTCTCCACATTGAAACCTTCCCTGTGGCCCCTGACAAGACCCTGACTAACGCAGGTAAAGAGACACAACTGTGGTGCAGTAAGGAAAAGGATTAAGCACAGAGCAGGTACTTGGCTGCTTTCTCAGGGAATACTGGATCACACACTCAGTATCGAAGTCCAGCTGTAGGAACAGCAGTCCAGACAACAAGGTAACTCTTCCAGGTGAGAAAACATACTTCATGAGCTGTAGCAAAATCAGAAATGTGGAGTCCCCTACCATGAAGCCCTGAACCAACAGATACTCCAAAATATAAACTGTTTCACATATTCACAATTACACATACCAAATAATTCTGAATTGAAGCAATGTTGACTGCTGATTTCCTCCACTGCCTCTGGTAGACGAGATCAGTATCCAGGCCATAGGTATGAGCCAAAGACAAGGCTTCCTCATACTCTTCACTTTCAATCTTTAGACAAAGAAATGGAAACAAGGTCACTATGACAATACAATGAACAATGACAATCCCTTGGATCTGTACAACACATTATGAATACATGTGCACTGTGACACTCAAAGTTCACATACATTTTGAGGAGCAGATAGATCAAGTATCTCTATTAGCATTTTAACAAAGATAAACAGTGAAAAGGTCAGTTCTACATGATAGAACAATGGCAAAACCAAGACCAGCAGTCTAACAGCCACTCTTTGTGCAGGGCTCCTGACCCTGCAGGAAGAACACAGATGAACCTGAACGCAGTGCTGGTCACACAGGCTGCACAAGCCAGGCCTGAACTAGACAGCAGGTGTGCAAGTCTTCTACCAGGTGTAGTCTGAGTACACAGCTGCTTAAACACTGCTAAGGAGAAGAGCTAAAGGTCACTCAAACGACAGCAGAAAGCCAGAGAAATCATAAAGTGGAAACTCAAGCTGAGTGAACTCATCTTTTTTGCTCTTTTTCTGTCTTGATTTTGATTACCCAAGGACAAAAAGCAGCACTATTTATAATACTGATATCGAAGATCAGTGGTCCAACAATCCCCCTTTAAATTTCTTCCTTTATTGAAAAATTAGCTTTTTTCTCATTAAAATGAGACTGTGATACCTTCAAATTTTGAAAATGATACACCCTCACCTTCCTCTGATAAAGCTCTTCTGGAGTCGTGGAGCGCAAACTCACAAGACGGTAATTTTTAGTAATGGTTCGTGGGCGCTTCCGTGGGGGTGCAAATCGCTCCATTTCAGTCACCAAGTAAAGCCCCTGTTTGATGTAGCCGAAGTAGCGAGCCTTGGCAGAGATTTCATGATCGGAATCAGAATCCTCTTCTCCCTCATCTTCTTCTCCCGACCGAACCTCCAAGCGAGACCGTTTAGGGGCGAGTTTAATCTCACACTACATGGAAAAAAGGAGATGTGGAATTAATAGTAAAGAACTAAAGACAACATTTTAGAATTAGTGGAAAAAATAATACTTCTAATTATACTCTGGTTTGATTCATTATATCATCAATGATGAGACTGACAGAATTCCAACAACAAATACTATAGACATCCACAGCTCCAAAACTAGGCATTATCAGCTCCAAATCTCAAAAACTAAGCCTTTTTTTTAATAATAGGTCAGTAATATGGTCTTGTAAAAATACCCCAGTAATTACTTCAGAGAAATAAAGAGGTTAAGAATTTTAATTTCTTTTCCTTTTGGTATTTCTGTTCACCTGTTACAGAAAAATATGATGATTTTTTAAAAATCTATTTAGAGAATGAACATGAAGGTATTTGTTTGCTTTACCAAAATAGCTCTTCCTCAACCCCTTTTAAAAATGTCTGAGTCTGAAAGCCTGGCTGTTAAAGATAACTTTCATTTCACATTTAACAGAATTGGCTTAGATTTTTAAGCCATAATTCTTTTCATAGGACATTTTTAGACTCAGCAACAAACTTCTGAGTAAAAAATCTTTGTCAAACTATATTGCTGATGTGAAAGCTATTGAAGGCTGTTACCCTTGGAAGACAATTTTAAATGACCAAAACATAACTTTAAAGAACTGGGCTCTATTTTCAAGTCTTTTGTCATGATAAATTTTTATTTAATGAAAGAATCAAAATTTTTAAACAGCCATACTTAAAGGAATTCAGAGGGGGAATGTTTAAAAGGGCTTATCATGTTAGTGAAAAATGAATGCTTTACAGACAGCAAAAAGATCCAGAGTTTCATTTTCTTACAATGCAATTTTTTAGGCTCACTAAACACCAGATTTTTTTTTTATGCTGTATTCAATGTCTGATAATTCCATTCACAGATTTTTTATTTTTAAATATTATATCACAGGACAGCTAAAACTAAACACCAGATATTTAGATTTTGGGTGAAATACATGTCTACTCTCAACCAAAGGAGAAAGCCTCACCTCCAAACTTAAAAATCCCCCATCATGGGTAGCAGTAACTTGAGGTGATGGTTCAAACCATTCACAGGATTTTCCTAGTAAATTCTTCAGAGTTTTCACAGATGAAACAGTCAAAGCACCAGAGCATCGAGCCAAAGTAACTGCACCATCTGCCCACCAGTTGACATCTATCAGTGGGTAAAAGGACTCTTTATCTAGTGGGAGAAAAGTAAGTTAAGACACACGCATCTGTGAGTGTGCTTTAAATACAACATATTTATTAGAGTAATCAATTTAAAAACCAAACTCATCCACATTATTTGGGCCCTAAAGTTCAAATAGCATGAATTAAAAAAAAAAAAAAGCTAAGTCTTTCCTCATTTTTTTTTTAATTTATTTTATTTGAAAGGCAGAGTTACAGAGACAGAGAGAGAGAGAGAGAGAGAGAGACCTAGAGATCTTCCATCCACTGGTTCACTCCCCAAATGGCCACAACAGCTGGGGCTGGGCCAAAACTGGGCCAGACCAGGGCCAGACCAAAGCCAAGAGCTAAGAGCTTCCTGCAGGTCTCCCTTGTGGGTGCAAGGGCCCAAGCGTTTGGGTCATCTTCCACTGCTTTCCAAGGCTTATTAGCAGGGAGCTGATCAGAGGTAGAACAATCAGCAAGGGAACCAGCGTGGCAGCTTAACTGGCTACTCCACAGCACTGGCCCCTTTCCCTCAAATTTTTATTTTTTTTTTTTTGTATACTTTGTATTATGAGATACAAAATGGTACAGTAATTAATTTAATGAACACCTGAGTACCAACATCTTGGCAGCCAAATTTAGAAGTTCCAGGGATACAGAGGTAAATAAATTAAAGTCCTTCTCAAAAAATTAGGAAAATACTCAAGAGAGATATATATCACCATTTTCAACACAGTACGTTGAAAGGTAGGCATATACAAGCTGTACATATAGAAAAGTTTGGAAGATGTATTTTATAGCACGTTCAGATAAACAATGAATTATACCCTTTAGAAAAATACAAAATACACATATAATAATTTCCAGTGTTGATTTCCTCTTAAAGTTGTAACTATTCAGACAGGGAAAAAAACATTCAAGGACAGAGGAATTTTTAGAGATGAAAGTGAATGCCTATGGCTCACCCAACAGAAGCATTCAAAAGGAAATACCATGGTATTTATTATAATTTTATTGTACTTTTTTAACCTCATCTATTCCACCAAGGGTATGATACAGTTTAAAGGTAATACATATAACTGTAAGAAATATTTAAACATTAAACTGAGGAGAGACAGGGATTTTTAAATTGGAATTCAGCACCAAGAGAAAACCTCATTATTTTTATAAAAATAAAGACCATAACAACATTTTTCTCCAATTTAAGCCTAAGGCAATGCAAAATACTACAAAATTATTTCCAAGAAAATGTGAAAAGCAGAGTTCCTAGGGCTAAGTATACAATGGGAGAGGAACAAATCATTCAAATAAAATTTATCTTCTGCTTTGACAGTCATTTTTTTCTTGAAAATATTTCTGAATGATTGTTTTAGACAATCACTTAAGAAAAACAGATAATTCAAAGCATGGAACCTGATGATGGCATTAATGAATCAATATTTCTATGAAAAGTATTAATGAATCAATACTTTTAATGCTCTTTAAATGTGAACTGAAAGTATACTGTAAGTTAGATTTTTAATCTTTTAACTATCACTGACTTTAAAGGAGAAACTTAAAAATTCAAGAGTGTTTAATTTTGAGAGTTCCACCTAAAGAAGGATGATGCTTACTCAAAAACTCAAAGTCATCTTTTGATTTCCTAATTTGGGGCCTCTGCTGTGGCACAGCACCAGCAACTGATATGGATGCCAGTTCAAGTGCCTACTGCTCCACTTCCCATCCAGCTCCCTGTTGATGTGCAGAAGAGTATGGCCCAAGAGCATGGGCCCTGCACCCATATGGGAGACTTGGATGAAGCCAGGCTGGGCCAGGCTATTGTAGCCATTTGGGGAGTGAACCAGCAGACTGAAGTTCTCTTTCTTTCTTTCTCTTTCTCTTTCTCTTCCTCGTTCTCTTTCTCTTTTTCTTTCTTTCTCTCTCTCTCTCTCCCCCCTCCCCCACTCCTTCTCAGAAACTCTGCCTTTCAAATAGATAAATATCTAAAAACAGATGTTACACTTCATTTCAACCAACCAAGTAAATAATTAATATTATTTTTATTTAAGTACAAAGCTTGGTCTTTTATCTACTTCAAAAAGTGATACATGTTCATTGTATTAAAAAAATTATTTTAGGGAACAGTATTGTGGCCTAGCGGGTAGAGCCACCACCCATGACATCAGCACCTTGTTTAGGCGCTGATGCAATTCTCTGCTGCTCCACTCCTGATCCAGCTCCCTGCTAATTGCCTGGGAAATCAGCAGAAGATGGCCCAAGTGCTTGGGCCCCTACACCCATGTGGGAGATCCAGAGGAAACTCTTGGCTCTTGGCTTCAGCCCAGCCCACCTCTGGCTGTTGCAACCATCTGGGAGTGAACCAGAAGGTGGAAGACCTTTCTCCCTCTGTAAGTCTGCCTTTCAAATAAATAAATCTTTAAAAAAATCCTTTTAAACATGAAGATGAACAAAAAGAAAAAGAACTTCCTACTAATATAACCCTAATTCCCTCCCAACCTCCAAGAAAACCAGTGTTTATCCTTTCAGCTATGCCCCTAGAGCATTTGAAAAGTGGTAGGCTTCTGAGCTTTGAACTCAGTGAGCCCTCTCAACACTGGCTTGGCAGAGGAGCCATGCCATAAAGCCTAAGCCCTGATTCAGCCTTTGGGATCTGTTGTCTTGTCTCTGGTCCATGAAATCTTAGTGCTTCTCCTAAAGAGAGGGAGAAGTCACCAAGAGATGCTTTACTGTCTAATAAGCACTGTACGTACTAACAAGGTCCCCCAAGGTTTTATTTACCATATTTCATTCAACTCACCTTTTACTTTTTTTCTTTTCTCAGTAGAGAGCCTCCAGTCAGGATTGAGTCCATCATAGCCTGGCTAAATGTGAAAAGATGCACCAGAGGAAGCTTTAGTCAACTACACAGAAAATGATGAGAAAATTATCAAAAGCTATGGAATTTTTTAAGTAACAAAACAAAGAGATGATGTTTTTCCTTGATCTCTCAGTTCCAACTGAATGAAATCTATTCCTCACCATAACAGTCTGGAGAGGCAATTGTTCTTATAGTTAACATGTGCACATGCAAGTATGAGATCAAATATAATATAGAAAAAACTTATATAAGAAAAATAAGATAATAAATATATAACTAATACAAATCAAAGTAAGATACACTAAGAATTCATTCCCTACACAGGAAGCAGAGGAGAGCAGCTGCATGTAAGCTCTGGCCTGGGTACAAGTCCTAGCCCTGCCCCTTGTAAACGCAGCAGCCCCTCAAGGCTGCGGTGTCTTAGCTCTGAGACTCAACTACACAACCTCCATGATACTTCCTAGTTCTTTCTATGACTACAATTTAGGAAGTAAAACTTAACCATGCAGTCCTCAAAATGAAGCCATTCATATTTTAATCTCACAGAAACACAGCATTGCGTTAGTTTAAGATCACATCAGTAAATGTCCTAAGACAATTCAGAGTAAGCCACTGCCAGACACTCTCTTGGCTTACTATTCCTCCAGAACTGCAACAGTATGGAGAAACAGCAGTAAAAAAAATAGTTTCGGTGTGTGTTTGAAATCTTAAATCTAAAAACAGTATTCCTATATTTAAGTCAAGCAAACTGTGCTTTTTGCATAATGCACCAGTGAGCATACATTCTTATTAGCAATACCACAGTGGCTCACACTCCTGATTATTAAAATAGATCTTTCTTTCCATAGCCTGGAAGCACTGCCTGTTCTTACCTATTACAGTAGATCACTCAGTCCCTGAGAACAGAGGTCACAATCTTTATCTTGGAAAGAAAAAAAGCTACCATAAGAGGCTAGTTAGGTACCACAGGAAGAAATGGAGTATCCTAGTTAACTGAATAATAAGAAAGACTATTAAGTCTAAAAGAATTAAGAAACAATCAGGTACATATTATTGAGAATAATCAAGTAAGTTAGAACCGTACTTGATCATTTATTAGGCAATTTAGAGTTTTTCAATGCCTGCAAATCGCCAGGAGTGTGTGCTGTGACAACAGCATACACTGCTACTGTGTATGATGACATGAGCTAGTTCCTACCAACGCATTCTAGAGAAGACAAGGGGCACATTCTGAAGCCCCTCAAGCAACAATAATTATAACTAAGACCTGGGTAAATTTAATTTGAATGAATTAAGTTTGAATTAAATGAAATTCGACATGAGATCCTGAAAATAAGTAAAAAAATGAATGAATGAATGAATAAATCTCATTCACTGGCATAAGCACTTTGGGAATTCAAAGTGTGCTTGGTCTTCCTCAGAAACGATGCTGAGAAGGAGCACCATGAGCAAGCAGTACTCATCTCTCACAGCCAAGGACGCACACCCTTCGGGACTGGACTGCTCCTTGCACACTGTGTCAACAGTGGGCACTTCTTTTTGTGGCTGGATAATATTTTATTGTAACCATTTATGATAACGTGTTTATCCATTGACCCATTAACGGACATTTAGATTGTTTCCATTTTGGTTGTTGTAAATAGCGCTACTATGAATATGCATAAACATGCTATTTTAGTATTTGTTTTAAATTTAGGGACTTATACACCTAGTTTTCTGAATTTATGCCTTAGAAATAAATTTTAGGTTCATTCTAGGCATCTGAACTAAATGTTTAACTTTATTATACTTGGAAGGTCAATGGGTTTTTCTGTACAGAACATTTGAGGGAAAAGCTGAAATAAAATCCACCCTTCCCCTCTGCGTCACACAGAGGCAGCCTGCAGACCAGCAGCCTTAAGGCTGTTCTTCCCCAGGTCCTAAAGGCCATCTCAGTGGCCCCTCATACTGTCGCTCCCCCTCTTCGTGGAGGAGCAACACAGGACCCTGCGCTGTTCTTTCGTCTGCTCGGCCTTCCCCGGGTTTGCTGCTGGTTCTTCCCGGGTTGGCTACTATCCCTTCTGTCGCTCCCCCTCTTCGTGGAGGAGCAACACAGGACCCTGCGCTGTTCTTTCGTCTGCTCGGCCTTCCCCGGGTTTGCTGCTGGTTCTTCCCGGGTTGGCTACTATCCCTTCCACCTCCGTGGAAGGGCAGTTCCCCCTGGCCACATTCCCCACTTCCGCAGGGGAGCGGCACACCGCCGGCCGGCTCTCTCGGGGGCTGCACAGGTGTTCCCTTAGATGTTCCCCTTAGATGTTCCTGGTGCATGCCGTTTCTCTCCTCCTTTATAGTCCTCCTCCGCCAATCCTAACTCAGCTGCCCACACGCCGAGTACGCTGCTCTCCAATCAGGAGCAAGTCCTACAGTTTATTAGTTGAACTGGAGGCAGCTGTGCGGAAGCTGTTTACTTCTCTCCCAGCGCCATATTGTGGGAGAGCAGATGCATAGAATAAGTCTTAATTCGAGTAACTTAGTCTAGTCCGGATTGCTCCCCACACATACTCTTGAGGCTGGCCCACACAGCCCATCTTTCTAACCCACAGACTCTAAGACAAACAAGACCCATGGCCTGGCCATGTTTACCACATCTGAAAAACTCTAGAGACTAATGCTCCATGAGCAAGATCACCACACTCCCCATGACCCACAAGAAGGCTTGCTCATGACACCACAGGAATACATTACAAGAAGAAACCCCCATGTCAATTCTCTTTGCATTTGTTGGAACTCAGAATACAAAACTCCAAAATATGGCACCTTGGCATACTGAATACTTTGAACTGAAGGACAATGGAAAACCTCAGAATCAAAGTTTCTCTGGCCTTCTCCTGCCCTCCTATCTCCAGCCCCTCATACTCCCTGAAAGTGAGTCAAAGAAACCAGAACTCTTTCCCTAGTGGGTCACAGACACCAGGACTCCTGCCCTCAAAGCAAGCCATACATCCAGAGAGGTTGTCTTCACTCCTCTATCCTCTCCACTGTAGAGCCTCATTCAAGAAGAGTCTTGCCCCATACAAGAGTAAAGGAAGGTCACACAGAGGCTAAGAAGAGTCTGAATAGGTAGGCCTTCCTGGGTTTCCCCTCAGTGTGTCACCATTAGACCAGCCCTATTCTTACATTCACACTTCTATATGCTGCCCATTCTTCATCACACCTAAGCATCAAAACAGACACATTTCCCTGGATCTTCATCTTGGAAGCCTACTGTACTACACAGAACTTTCAGTACATCTGTTCTGCTTTTCTCTTGCCAATCTGCCTCTTGCTATATGAGAACTGGCTGTGATTCTTTTAATCCCTACAGTCCCTGGTGCCCAACACGGGGCAGCTGAGACATATGACTCACTCTGGAACCTGCAGATGAGATCCCCGGACAACTGACAAAAACCAGCATAGAAAGGTAAGAATACTTTTTGATCAACATCAGCCCTTCCAGACCTCTGCCTATGTTATCTCATTGAGAATGGAAAGCAAAACATCCTCTTTATAGTGCAAGCATTTGGTCCAGTGGTTAAGTAATTACTTGGGACATCCACATGCCATATCAGAGTAACCAGATTTGAATCCCGGCTCTACTTCTGAACCTAGCTTCCTGCTAATGTACATCCTATGAGACAGTAGGTGACAGCTCAAATACTTGAGTACCTGCCACCAACTCAAAGCCCCAGATTGGGTTCCAGGCTCCAGCCCTGGCTGTTGCAGGCAGCAGAGGCGATCTCTCCCACTGTGCCAAAAGCCCATACTAAATTGCCATCATTATATAGGGCAACAGTAACATAGAGGAAGATAACCAAAAAATGCAGATAAAGATTTTGTACAGAATCACTACCATGGCTAAAGCAGTGTTTGAACTAGATTTAAGAATTTTACTTGTTGATTCTTTTTTTCAACCATTAGAATCTAAATGCAACAAAGTCTCTTTCTCCAAAGGGTACCAGAACTCAACACTTCAAATGTTTATTTCACAAGTATGTATTAGTGTTTAATATGCTACCCCTATGTTAGAATCTGTGGATGAAATATATATTCAGCACCAATTCTCAGAGTTCACAACCTAGCAAAGTTGTCAACACAGCTTGGATTATATCAAGATTAATCACATCAACTGCCATCTTCCCACTTATCCTGCATTGACTCATTCATTTAACAAAATTAGTCTAACACCTACTATGTGTCAAAAATAAAATTAAATTAAATTGGAAAAAGATAAGTTTCTATCCTATTTTCTACATCTAAGGAAGTACAAATAGGGAAGCAACAAAACTTCTTAAGAGAAAAATTAAAGCCAAAATGGACATGTATAGATAAAAGTAAAACATATGGAAGTGTTTGAAATGAAAATCACTTAAACAATTCTACTATATTCCAGACATGAACTCAATTTAATACTCACAGATTTCTAGCCAGATGGATCTTCATACAGACAATGAAAGCTGAAGTATTTAATCAACTCAAAATTGGATAGAAGTAAATCAGAATAGGCACTTCTATAACTATCTTTAATCATTAGGTTTTACAGAGAAAATACTCAATCACACAGGCATATTATGAAAGCTAATAAAGTGGCAAATTGCATGAAGAAAGCCCCAAATGAGCTGAATTCACAATTTTGGTAAAGGGATGTAAGGTTGTACAGAGCACTAGTAGCATTAGTTTCTTCTCAGGCAATGATTAAGCTCAAATTACCGGCTGACTATACTGCCTATTGCCATAAAACCCACTGTAAACTAACTGGAATGTTCAGTCATTTCCTAGGGCAGCCATAAAGAGAGGTAAAGTTTGCCCTCCCTGGAGACCAAAACTCCACTGACTATTGCCAGAGGAATGAGAAAGAAGCAGCTGTCTCAGTGTTTCTCCAGAGCCTGGGATGTCTCCTTAAACTCCGGCACTGTGGCGCAGCAGGTTAAAGCTGCGGCCTCTAGCACTGACATCCCATATGGGCACCAGTTCAAGTCCCAGCTGCTC